TTGCCATGCCCAGGCCGCGCCGTTGCCATGCTCAGGCCGTGCCGTTGCCATGCCCAGGCCGCGCCGTTGCCATGCCCAGGCCGTGCCGTTGCCATGCCCCAGGCCGTGCCGTTGCCATGCCCAGGCCGCGCCGTTGCCATGCCCAGGCCGCGCCTCATCCATGCCCGGGCCGTGCCGTTGCCATGCCCTGGCCGTTCCGTTGCCATGCTCGGGCCGTGCCGTTGCCATGCCCAGTCGACGCCGTTGCCATGCCCAGGCCGTGCCGTTGCCATGCCCAGGCCGTGCCGTTGCCACGCCCAGGCCGTGCCGTTGCCATGCCCAGGCCGTGCCGTTGCCGTGCCCAGGCCGCGCCGTTGCCATGCCCCGGCCGCGCCGTTGCCATGCCCAGGCCGTGCCGTTGCCGTGCCCAGGCCGCGCCGTTGCCATGCTTAGGCCGTGCCGTTGCCATGCCCAGTCCGCGCCGTTGCCATGCCCAGGCTGAGCCGTTGCCATGCCCAGGCCGTGCCGTTGCCATGCCCAGGCCGAGCCGTTGCCATGCTCAGGCCGTGCCGTTGCCATGGCCAGGCCGTGCCGTTGCCATGCCCAGGCCGTGCCGTCGCCATGCCCAGGCCATGCCGTTGCCATGCCCAGGCCGTACCGATGCCAGGCTCAGGCCGTGCCGTTGCTATGCCCAGGCCGCGCCGTTGCCATGCCCAGGCCGTGCCCTTGCCATGCCCACGCCGCGCCGCTGCCATGCCCCAGGCCGAGCCGATGCCATGCTCAGGCCGTGCCGTTGCCATGCCCAGGCCGCGCCGTTGCCATGCCCAGGCCGTGCCGTTGCCATGCCCTGGCCGAGCCGCTGCCGTGCTCAGGCCGTGCCGTCGCCACGCCCAGGGCGGGCCGTTGCCATGGTCAGGCCGTGCCGTTGCCACGCCCAGGCCCAGGCCGTGCCGTTGCCATGCCCAGGCCGCGCCGTTGCCATGCTCAGGCCGTGCCGTTGCCATGCCCAGGCCGTGGCGTTGCCATGCCCAGGCCGTGCCGTTGCCATGCTCACGCCGTGCCGTTGCCATGCCCAGGCCGCGCCGTTGCCATGCCCTGGCCGTGCCGTTGCCACGCCCAGGCCGTGCCGTTGCCATGCCCAGGCCGTGCCGTTGCCATGCGGCCGTGCCGTTGCCATGCCCAGGCCGTGCCGCTGCCATGCTCAGGCCGCGCCGTTGCCATGCCCATGCCGCGCCGTTGCCATGCCCAGGCCGCGCCGTTGCCATGCCCAGGCCGCGCCGTTGCCATGCCCAGGCCGCGCCGTTGCCATGCCCAGGCCGTACCGATGCCAGGCTCAGGCCGTGCCATTGCCATGCCCAGGCCGTGCCGCTGCCATGCCCAAGCCGTGCCGTTGCCATGCCCAGGCCGTGCCGTTGCCATGCTCAGGCCGTGCCGTTGCCATGCTCAGGCCGTGCCGTTGCCATGCCCAGGCCGCGCCGTTGCCATGCCCAGGCCGAGCCCTTGCCATGCCCATGCCGCGCCGTTGCCATGCCCAGGCCGTGCCGTTGCCATGCCCCGGCCGCGCCGTTGCCATGCCCAGGCCGGGCAGTTGCCATGCTCAGGCCGTGCCGTTGCCATCCCCAGGCTGAGCCGTTGCCATGCCCAGGCCTTGCCGTTTCGACGCCCAGGCCGCGCCGTTGCCATGCCCATGCCGAGGAAGAGGAGGAGGAGGAGAAGGAGGCTGAGGAGGAAGAAATCGAAGAGCTGTAGGAGGAGGAGCAGCAGGAGGAGCTGTAGGGGGAGGAGGGAGGGGGGAGGAGAAGGGCAAGGCGGACGACGAAGAGGAGGAGGAGGAGGGGGAGGAGCGGAGGGCCATGCGTCCAGGATTTTGGGGGGGCAACTCTGTTAAAGATTCTTGGCCTGCGTTCAGCCGTCGTCGCCGTCGGCAGGTTCGGTCGGGAACCAGGCGGCATCTTTGCTAATTTCTTGTTGTCCACGGCAGGGTTAGTTCGGAACCAAGGGGAGGGGGGCAACTTTGCCCCCGCAATTTTGTTAACGCGATGTGGTTTTCACGCTCCTAGACACCGTCGTCGCCGCGTGGTCGCCCTCCTCGTCACCGTCGTCCGTTATGCTGCTGCCATGTCGTCGCCATGCGGTTGCCATGCTGCTGCCATGTTGTCGTCATGCTGCTGCGATGCTGTTGCCATGCCGTTGCCGTGCTGCTGCCATGCCGTTGCCATGCTGGCGCCATGCTGTTGCCATGCGGAGGCCTCGCTGCTGCCATGCTGTTCCCGTGCCGCTGCGGTGCCGTCGCCATGCCGTTGCGGCGCTGTTACCGTGCTGTTGCCGTGCTGTTGCAATGCGGTGGCCGTGCTGCTGCCATGCTCTGCCCATGCTGCTGCCGTGCTGTCGGCATGCCGTCGCCATGCCGCTGCCATTCCGTCGCCATGCTGATGCCATGCTGGTGCCATGCCCTGGCCATGCTGCTGCCATGCTGTTCCCATGCTGCTGCCATGCTGTCGCCATGCTGTTTGCCTCGCCGTCGCCACTCTATTGCTATGCTTTTGCCATGCTGATGCCGTGCTGTTGCAATGCTGATGCCATGCTGTCGCCATGCTATGACCATGCTGTTGCCGTTCTGTGGCCATGCCATTGCCATGTTGTTGCCATGCGGCCGGATTGCCGTCTGGGGGCCCTCCTGGGGGTCCTCTCGGATACCTCTTGGGGCGTCTTGGGGGCCTCGTGGGCCGCCTCAAGGCGGTACTTGGCCGTGTCGTGCGTGCAACCTTGGGCAGTCTTGGAGGTGTCTTGTCCCAGCTTACAGGCCTCCTGGGACCCTGTGGGCCATCTGGGAGGCCATCTGTGACCGTCTTGAGCTGTCTGGGACCTCCTTGGGAGCCATCTTGGGCCGCAATGGCCGTCCTGGAGGAGGGCTTTCCGTACGTGAAGCTCCTTTGGGGTGGTTTCCTGGAGACCGGCGGGCTGCGCCAGAGGCCATCGGGATTCTCCTGGAAGGGCCACGAAGAGCTTCAAAGCTCGGCGCGCCAAGCACCCCTGTGGCGGGCGAAGGGGTCGGCGGATCTATCCCGCCACCATGCCTTGGGGGCTTCGGGGGGTCTCGAGGAAACATGTTGGGCCTACAGGTGGTTTGTCGGGGGGCCTCCAGGGTGTCTCTGGGGGGTCTGGGGGGAGGGGGGGGGGTCCAGGGATTCTTGGGCACGTCTTGGGTGGGAAAGGTCCTGGGCGCCTGGCCTGGCGCTCCCTCTGAGACCAAAGCGCAGGAAAGGCACAATGTTTTCGACGATGTGAGGTTCCTGGAGGCTCACGCGACACACCCTCGAGAGGGCTGGGCCATTGGGGGATCCGGGCCCTTCAAAGACTTACTGTCCTGAAAACCACTCGCAACTGTATGAGCTTTGGGGTGCCCCACTGCGTGGTCAAGGCACGGTGGTGGACGTACGCACTCCTGATTCAGAAAGCCCTTCTGGCCTGGCTTCGGATCGTTGGAGCCGCCTGCGGGCAGCCCGCCCGTCCGGGAGGCCGAGGGCGACGCCGGTGTTTCCCTCGCCGCTCACATCGTGGTTCCGTGCCTCCATGACTCCTCCGCGCCACCATGTCGGGGTCGAGCCATTCGGGCGCCTGGCAGGGCTTGGCCTGCCGCGCGGCCATGGAGTGGCGGCTCTCGGAGCGCAGCTGGCCGCAGGCATGGCCGTTGCCGCCGCAGGCGGGGGAGGGGCGCGGGTCCGCGGCACGCAGGCTGCAGGGGTCGCGGGCGCAGGCCGCCAAGGAGGAGGAGCCGCGCGGTAAAGCGGCTCGCACTGGCGGGGCGACCCGCGGAGAGGACGCCCCGCGCAGAGAGGACGAGGCGGCGGGGGCGATGGAGGAGGCGCCCCCCTTGCCGACGTCGCCCGGACTGGGCTCGCGGAGGCCCGGCCCCGCTCCGACGACGCCCCCCTCCGACGAGAGCAGTACTCAGCGCGAGGAGGAGCGGGTGCTGCCGAAGTCGCGCTGCCGAAGCCGGGAGCGATGGCGAGCTATGGCCGTTGCCGCGCAGATCGCCTCCGCGCGAGCAACCTGCGCCGAGGCCGGGAGGTCCGCGGCGGAGCGCGCCGAGGACCTTGGGCGCCTGGAGCCGGCCCGCGCCGAGGAGGCCGAACAGGAGCCAGCGCGCGCGGGTGCGGCCCTCCGCGGACAGACGCCCCGCGCCGCCGCCGTCACCGACGCGTGGCTTCGGCGGTACAGCCGGCGCGCGGAGGCCGCGCGGAGCACGGCAGTCGAGTCGAAGGGCACCGCCGGTGCCTCGATGCCCGGCGACCCTGACCCGTCTCCCGCCAGCCTGATATCCGAGAGCCCTGTCCCGTCCCCCGCCAGGGAGGTCTCCGAGACCCCTCCTCCGGGGCCACGGGGTGTTGCTGCGCCTAGCAGCGCGAGCAGCGACGCCCCGGCGCGCCAGGAGGGCGACGACTGCGACTGGTCCTCCGCCGCCGAGGCCCCCGAGGAGGCGGGCGATTACGGCAGCGTCCCGAAGGGCGACGCCATCGCGGACACTCTCGACGCCGTCGCGGAACCTCTCGACGCGATCGACGAGGCCGAGGCGGAAGAGCGCGAGGCCGCCGTCGTAGGAGCGGCCCGCGGCGGTCCGGCGTCCTTGCAGGACTCAGAGGCCGCAGCTGGTGCGTCGGCTGCCGTCGGCCCCCAGCGACGTCAGGCGCTGATGTCCCACAGGGTCGTCGAGGTGAGGGCAGGCTCTCTGAGGTACTACCCGGCGCTCTCTGCCGGGGATAGGTCGGCCACTATCGAGCGCGTGCTCCGCGCGCGCGGCGAGGCGGCGAAGGCCGAGGCCCGCGAGCTTGGACTCGATGCCTCGACGCTCGAGAAGGCCTGCGAGTCCGTGGCCGGCGCAGGCCGAGCCATTCTGGCGCCTCCGGCCGCCGACGGCTTTCGCTACTTGGTCTTCGACGTCGCGCTGGCGAAGAGGAGCAAGTTCCTCTATTTCCAGGATTGGTCGCAGACAGCGGATGGCTACTACTACCTCCGCGTGCAGGACAGGCGCACTGGCGTTTGGCAGCCAGTCGCTCTCGCGGCCCAGTCGGGCCCCCCCGTGATCAGCCGCGCGGCGAGGTCCATATGCAAGACCCATTGCGACCACACCTTCGGCGGGGAGGTATGGTTCAACGTGCTCAACCAGATGGGCGGCTGCCCCGCCGAGTTCGTGGACGCCTATAACGTCGCCGTCGACAGGCGACTCCAGGCCGCAATCGAGAAAGTTGGGGCGCATCGCGTTTCCCCACCAGCCCATCCAAAAAGGACGTCCAGGATAATTGAGACGATCAGGGAAGTACAGGAGCAAAGAGGCGGACGGCTGGTATCGTTCACAGGGGGGGGGGCTGGACGACGAAGGAGAAGGACGAGGACTTTGTGGACGAGGCGGGACCGGGGGAGGGGGAGGAGGAGGAGGAGGATGGCGGGGATGGGGGGCGGAGGGAGCAGGGGGACGAGGAGGGAGAGGGGGATCTTGGGAGCTTCTTGGGTGCCTCCCGGGGCCGCCCGGGTCTCTTCGGGGCTTCTCGGGGGTTTCTTGGGAGCTTCTTGGGTGCCTCTCGGGGCCGCCCGGGCGCCTTTCGGGGCCATCTTGGGCCCATTTCGGGAGCTTGCGGAGCGTTCTCTGGGGGGCCATCTTGGAGGGGATCGATTACAGAAGGGGGGCTTCTGAATCCCCCCCCTTCTCGGGGGCCCCAGAAATCGTTTCGTGGACCCTCCGCGGTGCGCTCTTGTTGCGCCCGTGGGCGCTCTTGGGGCCGCATTGGGGTTCTCTTGTGCTTCCGCGGTGGCCATCTTGGGCACTCTTGGAGCTCGCTCGAGGCTTCGGAATGTCAACAGAAGCGAAGAGGCGAGAATAAACAAAAAACAAAACTTTTATATGTTTTTGGGTTTTTGAAGGTTTTGGCGTCTGGGAGGGGCCTCCTTGGAAATCTGGGACGCCCCTCGGAGCCGTCTCGGAGCGTTCTTGGGGTTTCTGGGGGCACATTGGGGGCCATATTGAAGCATCATGGGCTGGCTGGAGCCATCTTGGAGGGGGCCCTCCTGGAGCAGTCTCGGGCGGGAAAGTACTCGTTGACACCTCGCGGCCCGCCTCCGCCCAGGCCCCGGGGATGAGGGTAGGGGGAGGGGTAAGCCGTTCCCCGAGGAGGAGGAATGGGGGCTGGAAGGAGACACTTTCTAGACCACCTACGACCAGAGGGCCGGTGGGATTTTGCTTCGCCAGGATCTCCGATGGGGGATGGGGGGGGGGGGAGGGGGGGCATGGGCTGATGTCTCTGAGGAGGGCCGGTGCCTCGACGCTCGGCGAGAGATAGTGTGAAGTGGAAGCTTTCTCGAATGCGACCTGCAGGCGGTCGACCTCCCGCCGCTCGACGCGGCTGCCTCCAGCGCGCGGCGCAGGGACGCGCCTGGCCCGGCGAGCGAACGCCCAAGGTTCCTCAAGAGGCAGGCCGCGACGCTCCTCTGGAAGGCGGCAGACATCGCAGCCAGTGCCTCGACGCCTGGCGGGCACCCTGAGGACGATCGCCTCGAGGCGGAGCGCCTCCGCAGCGAAGCCGGCGAGTTGACCCGCCGGAGGCTGGCGATGCAGGCGGATTCCGCCAGGGCGGCCAGCCGCCCAGCCACCGGCCACGCGCCGCAGGCTTCGGGCGCGCAGCAGGGCGAGCCGATCGCGCACTTCGCCAGGGCGCTCCTGAACACGCTGCTGGCGCTCGGCGTGGAGCGCGAGCCGGCGGCCAACATGGTCGACCCTGGCGGGGGCCAGGGCGGCGACAAGGGCGACGGGGGGAAAAGCGGGAAGGGCATGGGGCAAGAGGTGAGGCGCCCGGCCCCCGAAAGCCGAGCTGGTGCCTCGACGCCCAGCTAAGGCGCAGATGTCCGACGTGCGCTCGCGCGCAGGACCTTAGAAAAAATCTCGACGCGCCCCCGTCCAGCTTATCCAGAAACGATGCCCTTGAGAGCTGTGAGCTGACGGGAGCAGGGAAGAAGAGGCACTCCTAGGGAACAGCGCGGGTAGCGAGTGCGAACTGATCATCTCTTGGAACACGTGGCGTCGGCGCTGCTGCCGCGCGCGCTGCTGGTGCTGATGCTGCTGGCGGTGTCCACGGGCGCTGCGGCGCATGCAGATGCTGCCGCGGCGGCCGCGGCAGTTTCAAGCGCTATGTTGTCCGCAGGCGCAGAGGTGCACATAGGCATCGTGGTGCGCGCAGGCAATGCTGTTGTTGTTTTTTAGCATTGGAGAGGGGGCGGGGATGGGGAGGGGGGCGGGGCGGGGGCGGGGGGGGTGCGCGCGCCCTGGGCCAGAAAAACAAGGATCGCGCATAGTTTCCCGCATTGGCGTTGATGATTTAAGTCCGTGCACGATGCGCCGCGGTCTTCCCTGTGGTACGCGTCTCTGGCGCAGGTGGTTGCGTCGACGATCCGGCGCCCTTGCCGCGCAGTTGAGAGTCGCGTCCCCATGGGCATCTTTGATCCTAGCCGAGCGCCGATCTGTATCTTGAAGTCGCGTGCGCCTCGAAATTATTCCGCCTGTCTCGCGTGCGACATCCTGGGGACTCCGTGGTCTGAGATGCTTTCGCCCGATGTGAGTTCACCGGTGTGGTCCGTGGCGTGCTCACATTTCTTGACGCTTCGCGTATCCCCACCAGCCCATCCAGAAACGATCATCCGGTGAGTCGGTGAATCAGGGACGCCTGGAAGCACGCGGTCGCACGGCCGTTCTGGGAGCGTTAGAATTGGGTGGGCAGTACCTTGGGCCAGAAATCAAAGACCACGAATAGCTTCGCACAGTGAAGTTCAAGACAGGAATCGGTGCAAGATGCGCCATAGTGCTACCAGTGGATAGCGTCTCTGGCGCAGGTTGCTACATGTGCGATCCGACGCCAGTCTTGCGCAGATTTGAGTCGCATCTCGATGGCCATCCTTGATCTGAGCCATTGCGCTGGTTTGAATATTAAACTCGCGTGCGCTTCGAGATTGATCAGGTGATCGTGCTGCTGCCGGTGCTGATGATGGATCTGTTGTTGTTGATGCTGTTGATGTTGCTGCTGGTGCTGGAGCTCGTGCTGCTGCTGGTGCTGCTGGTTGTGGTGTTCCTGCTGGTGGTGGTGCCGCTACTGAGGCCATCTTGGGGGGTAGGAATTGAAAGAAGGGGGAGGAGGAGGAGGAGGAGGAACAAAAAAAAGGAGAAGGAGGAGGGGGATGAGGAGGAGGAACAGGAATGCGGCACGAGGAGGATGAAGAGGAGGAGGGAGGAGGCAGGAAGGGAGGAAGGAAGGCGCGGATGATGATAAGGACACTGCCAAGTTGGGCTTTGGGGATATGTTGTAGTGATGGATCCCCGAGGAGTCGTACTGCCATTTTGGGGCTCTCTTGGGGTCCTCTTGGGGCCCTCTTGGGGCTCTTTTGGGGGTCTTGGAGCCCTCTTGGGACTCTTTGGGGTGGTCTGGGAGGCCTTTTCGGGTAATTTTAGGCCGCATTGATCAAAAAGAGGGGGGTCCGATTCCCGCCGCCCCCTTCTGAGGCTCAAAAATGCCGTCTAGGGCTCTTGGGAGCTCCTGGGGCCGCCTTGGGGCCCTCTTGGGGCTCTCTTGGGGCTGTCTTGGATTGTCTTGGGGCCATCTTGAGGCCTCAAGAGCCAATCGGAGGCGAAAACGCAAAATGCAAAACACATGGTTTTCCATTTGGGGGGTCTTGGAGGGCTCGGGGGGCGCTTGAAACCGTCTTGGGGCCGTCTTGAGGCCTCTTGGATGTATGTCGGAGGCTATATTGACCCATCTAATTAGCGATATATTGGGCAATTTGGAGGCCATCTCGCGCTCTCGGAGGCCCTCTTGGAGCCATCTTGGGCCAAAAAGGACCCTCTGCCACCTCGCGGGGGAGCCCGTCCAGACCCAGGGAGGGGGGGAGGTAAACCTCCCGAGCAGGGGGATGAAGGAGGTTGGAACAGGAAACTCTCTAGACCACCTGCGCCCAGAGGGCTGGTGGGATTCCAGGAGAAGATGCGCTCCCTGGAAGGCCCCGTCCGTCTCGCCCGAGACATTCTGGGAACGCCAGGGGAGTTGCCGGACGAGGGACGCGTGGAAGCACGCAGCTGCACAACCGTCCATGACATCGCACGGGAAGGGGTGCTGAGTCAGCAGGTCAGCGTTGCCGCAACGGCTTCATGAACAACAACGGTGCGTTGGGCTACATGTTGTAGCGAAGGGTTTCGGTGGTGCTGTTGCTGATGCCGTCGTTGCTGCTGGCAATATTGACGTAGTTGTTGCTGCTGGTACTGTAGCATTTGCTGTCATAGTGTTTGTTGCTGTGCTTGCTGCTGCTGTTTGTTACTGTTGCTGCGGTTGTTGCTGCTGGTACTGTTGCTGCTGCCGTTGCTGTTTGCGCTGTTGCTGGTGCTGCTGATGCCGGTGATCCCTGGGGCCGTCTCGGGGAGAGGAGGAGGAGGGGGAAGAGGAGGAGGAGGAAGAGGAGGAGGATGACGAGGAAAAGCGGTAGCGGAGGAGGGGGGAGGAGGTGGAGGAGGAGGAGGAGGAGGGGCAGGGATGCGGCACGAGGAGGAGGAGGAGGAGGAGGAGGAAGGGGGAGGATGAGGGAGTAGGCAAAAGGAAGGGACGCAGGACGATGACAGCGAGGATGATCAGTAGGGCTACGAGAAGCCAGGCTTCGGGGATATGTTGTGGTGAGGGTTCTTTCGAGGACTCGTGATGCCATCTTGGCGCCATGTTGGGGTTCTCTTGGGGTCGATTTGGGGCACTCTTGGGGCCCTCTTGGGGCTCATTTGGGGGGTCCTGGGGCCCTCTTGGGGCTTACTGGGGAGGGGTCTGGGAGGCTTCTTGGAGCCGTCTTGGGCACCACGGCTCCAAAAGAGAGGCGGCGTAAATTGGCGCCCCCCGTCGGAGGCTCGGGGAGGGCGTCTCGGGGCCCTCCTGGGCCGCTCTTGGAGCGCTCTTGGGACCGTCTCGGGTCTCTCTTGGGGCCCTCTTGGGCCGTCTCGGAGCCGTCTTGAGGCTTCAAAAGCGGATCGAAAACGAAAAGGCGAGAAGGCAAAACACATTGATAGATTTTCCCTCCGTTTTTGAAGGATTTCGGCTTCTTGGCGGGGCACTTGGATGGCTCGGAGGGCACTTGGGACCGTCGTGGGGCCGTCGTGAGGCCTCTCGGAGGCATGTCGGAGGCGAGCTCGAGCCGTCCTGGGCTATATGGGGTTATCTTGGAGGCCATCTTGGGCTACATAAGGCCCTCTTGGAGCCGTCTTGGGCCATCTTGGGCGCTCCAATCGGTCGCGACCCCGTCCGTCCAGGTCCAGGGGAGGGGGTAGTGGGAGGGGTGAACTTCTCCCCGAAGGGGAAGAGGAAAAGATGGAAGATGAAACGCCCTGCACCACTCACACCCAGAGGGCTGGTGGGATTTGTCTGCTGAGCATCACCGAGCGGTGGAATCTAATGTCTTCGATTGCCCCCTGTTGGGCGAATCACTTGCGCAACCTCGCTGAGTGTCCCCATAGCACCTCTGCGTGCGCCGAGCGGGGCCCAGATTCAGGGGGACCGGTGCGCACTTTTTTAAAGGTCCCCCCATCTGCTCCTCCTCCCCCTCTCGCCCCCTCCCCTTCCTCACCCTCCTCATCCGTATCCATTTTGGTTACAGTCGCCCTCAGGGGGGCATTCGCGTCGGCACCGCGTGCGCATTGGCCACATATCTTGTGCAGATGTCTTCAGGATTTGTCCTGGTACATATTATTACCGTTGCGGCATCCTCTGCGGCCACGCGTGTGCCTTATTATCCCGCCGCCACCGCGGCGCCCTATATTGCAAGGGCGGCGTCGCCAGTATTAACGGTGGCTCGTCCACGGCGCGCTCGATCGGCGGACGGTGCACGCAAACGCCCACTTCGAACAATTGATCGTCGGTTTGCAGTCCCTCATGGAGCAGTGTGCATGTAGCTGGACGCCTCAGTGGAAGCTCTGGAAATCGTTGGCCTGGAACCCGCAGCCGCCCACTCAAACCAATTTCGATGAGGGCAGAGCCAGCAGCAGCTTCCAATGCACGTTTGCGTCAGGGTCTTCGAAGGTCTTCGAGGGCCAAAATCCGTCAAAATCCTTATTAGTTTTGGGGAGGCCGGGAAGCCAGCCTAGCTTCCGTGCGAGTCGGTGACTCGGGCGGGCGCGGTATCGCGGCGACGTCGACGGCGGCAGACGCCATGGTGACGGTGGCGATGCTGGTGTCGAGGGTGACAATGGCGACGGCAAGGGCGCCGACGGCGCCTGCGGTGATATGCACCGATGAAGCTGATGGCATCCCATTGTCGGCGATGAGGGTTGCGTTCAGGAGTTCGACGTGCGCGTTTTCAAGATTTCGCGCGAGCGCGCGCGGACCTTTTCACAGCCGATGTTGCAGAGCCATGTTTAGATTAGTTTTCAGGTCTCTCGATTTTGAAATCTCTGCGGCATCTAAGCTTTTCGATTGATTTCGCCATGCGCGCTCGAGGACGCGCGCGCGTGCACTTCATCCCGTTTTGTGGACAGGGGTTCTTGCGACAGCGCGCGCGCGCAAGGCTGTTCGAATGATTTCGACGTGCGCCCGCCAGACGCACGTGTGGTAACATTTGGTGAACATTTTTGGATTTGGCGTTTTTCATTATTTCTTAAATTTTCTAGCTTTGGAGTATTGTGTTGTACGTAATATCAATATATACATACATGTGTTTGTAATTTACATATAGACTTACATCTATACATATATGTATACACGTATATACATTTAATATACATTTCTATACAGCTATATAACATATTATGTCATACAACCCGTATGTACAATTATGGTTTCTTCCCAGGGCACGTGCGTTACGTAGGTTGTTTGAAGAATTTTGGCATGCGTTCGCGACGAGCGTGTGCTTTTTTGGTGTTCTTGAACATCGATGGGTTTTGGTGAACGAGGGTGCGCACATATTTTCAGGCTGAGGATGACCAAGGGGGTCGAACAGCGTCTGCCTGGGATGGTAGGTATTCATATTTAGGGTGAACGATGAGGCATAAGCGTGTGTGTTTTACAATAGAACAAGCGGGGCGTTAGTCCGGGGTGGGGGCGAAGTGAAGTCCTATTTTTTCCCAGGATCAACTCCATGTGGTGCAATCTATGTGGTGCAACGTAATTTCTGCTCGCAGTGAGTTGTCCACTCCACTGCTCGCGCAAACATCCCACCCACCCACCCGCAACTTGATTTGCAAAATCTCTTAAGACCGTGACGGTGGGTACCACATGGCACTTGGCAACAACAGCGACGCCGACGACGACAACGACAACGACGATGACGACGCCGCCTACAACGACTACGACGACACCGACGACGTCTCCAACGACCTCGACGACGCCGGCAACGACGACGACGACGACACCGACGACGACGACGATGACACCGACGCCGACGACGACGATGACAACGACGACGACGATGACGACGCCGACGACGACGATAACGACGACACCGACGACGACGACGTAAACGACGCCGACGACGACGACGACGACGGCGACGACGACGACGCCGACGTCGACGACGACGAAGACGACAACGACGCCGACGCCGACGACCACGACGAAGACGACGACGACGTCGCCAACGAAGACAACGAGGAAGGAGGGAAGACGACGACGGCGACAACGACGACAACGACGAGGGAGGAGGGAGGACGGCGACGACGCGAACGACGAAGAAGGAGGAAGGACTGCGACGCCGACGGCGGCAACGACGAGGGAGGAGGGAAGACGACGACGACGACGACGACGACGACGGCGACGAAATAGGAGGGACGACGACGAGACGCCGACGACGGACGACGACGACGACGTGGGAGGAGGAGGAAGGACGACCACGGCGACAACGACGACGGAAACGACCACGACGCCAAAGAGGACGACGACGACGAACACGAAAAAAGACAGAGGACGACGTAGGCGACGACGACGACGACGCGAGAGGAGGGAGGACGGCGACGACGACGACGACGACGACCACGCAAGAGCGCTCGCGCACGCTTTTGTTGAAAAGCCGTGTTGCGAAACTTTTTTTTTTGGAGGGGGTTGGACGCACGATTTTGAAATCCTTCCGAAACCGATGGGTTTTGCAGGTTTTCGGCTTACGCCCGCGACGACGCGCGCGTCTGCACTTCGTCTCGTTTTTTGTAGAGGATTCTCGCGACGGCACACGCGCAAGGGCGTTCGACAGATTTCGACATGCGCGCGCGCGAAGCCCGTTTGGTAGCATTGTGCGAAAATCTTGAAAACCTGTGGTTTTCTCAAGATTTCGCAAGAGCTCGCGCGGAAGTTTTTTTCGCAAATCTGTGTTGCGAAACCATGTGTTTTTGGATGTTTTTTGGAACCCCGATTGCGAAATCCTTCCAGCATCGAAGGTTTTTGCAGGATTTCGGCATGCGCGCACGACGACGCGCGCGTGTGCACTTCGTCCCGTTTTTTTTTTTTTTTTTTTTTTTTTTTTTTGTTTTGTTGCAAGGGGTTCGTGAACAAAAATGTTATGTTAGAACAACAACTGTCACCGCATAGTTTTTTTGTTTAAGAAAAGGGGGAACCCGGCCGAGCTGGGATGATATGATTTCATATTTAGGATGGACGAGTGTGCAGCATCTATATATACGTACATATATATACATATACATGTATGTATGTATGTATGTATGTATGTGTGTGTGTATGTATGTATATATATATACATATATATATATATGAAATCATACTATCCCAGGGGGAGCTGATAAGTCGGGGGGGGGGGGGTCGAGTCTATTCTCCTTTTAGAACAGAGAATCAAAGCTCAGCAATACAAATCAACGCAAAGCGATGTAATGCCATATAGTTCATTGTAGTACGATGCGACACAGTGCGAAACCATACGCAACAATGCGAATACATGTGCGGCGACGCAGCTGAATGCAACGCAATGCAAAGAAAGGCAAGACAATCCAACCCTGTGGCAAGCAATGCGAAATTGTAAAACAAAGCAGCGCAATTCGAAGCCGCGCAAGGCAGTGCAAAGCAATGCGGTGCACTAAAGAGTAATGCGAAGCAATGTAAGGCAACGCGAAGTAATACGAAGCAACGCAAGTCAATACAACATCGTGCATTACAGCGCGCAACAATGCCAAACAATGCGAACCAATGCAACGCAATGCGCCACAATGCAAAGCAATACACATCAATGCAAAACAACGCACTTAAACCCAACAGTACGAAAAACAATGCAAAGCTATCTATTGCCATGTGAAGGAATGCGGCGCAATGTAGAGCAAGGCGAAAGGAATGGGAAGCAACGCGGCGACGGGCGGCGACGAGCCGGCTGGCGGCGAGTGGCGGCGACGGGCGGTAACAAGCCGGCCGGACCGACACGGGGCCCAGTTACTGTAGAAGAGAAGTGCGAACCCCTAAGTGCGAACACTGTTGCGGGAAGAAGTAAGGGCCCCTAAGGTCAAGCATCGCGCAATCCAAATCGCGACCAAGAACGGGAACGTCGGGCAGCGACTGGCGGCAGCAAACCGGCTGGACTGACAACCAGGCCCCACTCAAAATCGTGACCAAGGACGGCGGCCACGGGCGGCATTGGGCGGCCATACCCCGGCCGGACTGGCAACCAGGCTTAGTTCCTTAGAAGAGAAGTAAGACAACCGCAAACGCAATCGCTTTTTGTGGAACGATTGTTGCATCCAGGGCCGTTTTAGGGGGCCTCTTGGAGCCCTGTTGGCGCGTCTTGGGGGCCTCGATGGCCGTCTGTGGGCCATCCTGGGCATCTTGGAGTGATATTTGGTGTATCTGGTGTTATCTTGGACCATCTTGGGGTCTTCTTGGACTTGCTTGGTCCGTCATAGGGGGCCCTGGGGCTTCTGGAAACGTCTCGCGGGGAAGCCCAGCAGCGCGCGAGAGCGCCTGGAAGATTTTTGGCTTTTGGGCTCCCTGCCACTAGTCGTACTAGTTCAAAGCTGAGTACAGAGTGCAGAGACTCTAGAAGCTTGGAGAACACTCCACTTCGTGCCTCGAGGCACGGTGGCGGATCTTCTCAAAGGACAAGGCCAAGTGGTGCTCGCTGAGCATCAAGGCTGCAGCGTCCATGGCCAAGTTCTCCACTGACCGCACGATCTCCGAGTATTCCAGCGTCATCTGGGGCGTCAAGCCAGCACCTCGCCCAGTGGAAACCGCAGTAACCAGCACGAAGGTTCCAGGTCCTGTCGGCAAAGCTGCTGCTCCGAAGAAGTAGATGCCGGGGCCCGAAGCCAAGGCTGCCTCTCCAGAGAAGAATGACGGAGGCGCATCAACTGGCTGTGCAGAGCGAGCGGCCCAGCTTTAATCAACGGTGGTCAGGAGCAGCGTTTAAGCTGCAAATGTTCCATACTAAAGTTTTAAATGTTTACCCCTTTTCCTCCGCCACCTCACCTGCCCCTCCTCGTCGTCTTCCTCTATCTCCCCTCAGGCGTGGTGCCCGTTTTTGACTTCAAGAGGGCACCTGGGCTCAGGGCAGCTAGTGTTGCACGTGGTCTTCCATGAATTGGGCTTTTTTGGCTCGGTACGGTGGGGTGGCAGGCGTTCGGCTCACAGGCAGCCGGCTAATCAATCGTTGCTCGGCATTTGCACCGCCGTGTCTGCGACTGGGCGAATAAGGCGTGCGATGATGAGTCTCTCGAGGCTGCCTCAGAGCGTTGCGCGCACACGCGTTGCTGCATCGAACAGATTCTCAGTGCATCTTCCGGAGTCGCAAGCATCGAAGAATAACATACGCCATAAACATAAACATTTGGCGCTCCGCGCGGATTTCTTGGATCCGCGCTGGGCTGCCCCCGCGGCGCCTCCGGCGCCGCCCTGGGCCCGCTCCGCGCGCCAGGGAGGGGGGTCCAGCGATGGATCCAAGAAATCCGCGCGGAGCGCCAAAAGTTACTGTTTATGGCGTCTTTTCTTCTTCTATAGAGGGGCAAATGGAGGGGGTCTATTCCCCAGTGTGCGTTCCCGAGCTTGGACGAAGTATTGCGGTGTAGCGAGGCCTGGGGCACCTGAGTCGCATGTGTTTAGCACCAACGCGGGCAGTTTTCTGCGGTCGCCAACTCTGGAAGTTTTTTCTGTCTTCGGGGAAGGC